AACCTTGTGATTTTTCTCATTTTGGCATTGTACAAAAATAAATTAATTTCATTCCATTATTACATTTGTCATGGTTTAATTTTTTAGATAAATAGTAATGTATTATTTTTTTTTCATATTGTGTGGTCATTTTTATATTTACGTTCTTTTTTTTGACTTAATTAAGTTTTGTAAACAAAATTTACCTTTTAATATCTACTAACAGTTCTTGAAATCATGGTTTGGGCTATTATAAAATTCACTAATGAAAATGCAGTAGAAGTGGTACCAGGCCCGGATCCAGAGGGGGTGGCGATGTGGCGATCGCCACCCCCAAAGCACAACATTTTTTAAAGATCTTCAATTTCTCCAAACGACAACAGGCAGTTAGTCGATATTAATGCAAGTAGAAGGATTCATTAGTATCAAGCTCCTCTGAAAAAGTGCCACATTTTTCATTAGTTTATTGCTATTTTGCAATGCAAATTTTAAAAATTTTGGTTCGCCAATATGCCTATCTTGTACAACATTCAATAATGAACAAAAAAATCTTGAGTTACTTTTTTTCGTCTGAGGCTTCCTTTACGAATAATAAGCGATAATATCCAAAAAAACGGGCCATTTTTGAATTATTTCGCACTTTTCATTAATTTAAACAAACTTCCCATGGTTTTCAGCTTTCCGCAGGTCGATATTCCGAATGTACACATTTTTCCGGTTCGATTAAAAAAAAAAACAGGTTTACATCAAGCAACAGCCATTTCGGCTCGTTTATTGGCTCCGCCGACTTTTATTATGACTTTTAACGAAACGGAGACAGGTAGATAGAGCCAGTCAATAGATTGCCTGTCTGCCTGTTGGGGTTTTCCGTACGCCTGTCTCAAAACGTTTATGGCGCAATAAATTTTTATGGCTTGAATGCGAAATTTCGTTATTTTTCTTTTACGTTTTTATTTTGAATCTCAGAACCCGGAATTTTTGGATTACGCGTTTTCTTGTCTCTTGGAGATACCTACCTACCTAGATAGCGTTCTTTTGTAAAATATCGATTTTTGTATCAATAAATATATGCATAATGTTATTAGATTAAATATCTCTTGTCATTCAAAAATCCCCCGTCCCCCCTCCCCCTTCCTAACCTACACCTTACGTCATCAAAAAAATAACAACAACAATAATAATAATAATAATAATAATGATAAAGAAGTGCTTTGCGCCGCCCCCAAAACCAGTCTCTGGATCCGGGCCTGAGTGGTACTTACCAAATGGATTGTACGCTCTTCTAAGGAATGCTGTTGACCAACGCATACAAAAAAATAAAAAATCATAGGTTTTATTAAAATTGGATCCGGGAGTAGAATGGAAAGCATATCCAGCAAAGTTGTTTGGCGAATATGGTATGGGGTAAGTTTGCATTTTTTCATTAGTTCATTGGCATGGACAATAAATAATATAGGTAGGTTGTACTTAGATATTAACATGTTTTTTGTTGTGAATTATAAATTATTAAGGTAATTCATATAGTGATTTATACCTCTATTTAGGTTGTACAAATATCAAGAGCAATGTAACAATAAAAAAGCAATTGGACGATATAAATTTTAGTTATCTTTTCACATACTTATTTCACTTTTAACCGTAGTTTTACTATTTACATTAAAACGAAACGTTTTTTAGATTTTTATTTATCTTTTTTTAATCAGCTTTCAATATTTATCTTACAGTTATCTAAAATAATGTTTACTTATTTACAACAAAAATGTATTAATTTATTCATTCACTGACTTGTGAATATATTTTTTAATTTTAATATTAAGTATCTACTTGATGCAAATGTATGGTTAGGCAAGTACCTACTTTAAAAATGTGCTAAAATGCTTTCCAGTTAGGTACTGTCTTTTGTCTGTTTTGCATTAACGTTATTATAACACAACGTTTTAGATAACTTTAACATTGCCCAATGAAAAGCGACAAAGGCGCAAGATACAGATGAATTAACATTACCTGCGGAGAGTTTTATGAAAGGTAGAAGTTATAGAAAGCCACAAATAAATAGAAAGTAGAATGATTCTGAATCAAACTCGTCAGATGAATCACCTGATGATAACATCTATCTCATACTAAGAAAAGATAGAACAAGGAGATTCAAGGACAACAAGGTTGTCTCGATTGTTTTGCTCAGTGTACATCGCCCGGAGAAACTTATAGGCAAAATTGAAAAACAACGAGTAGTTTGCCACCTTCATACGTGATGGCACCACCAGAGTAAAATGTTCCGTCACACCCTATTTTATCTGCAGTACAGGGCATCCCACACCACAGCGTCACATGGAATCAATATCTACACACAGTCATAATTTGGTGATGGGTGAATATAATAAATTTCATTTTAGAAGAAACTGGAAAAGTTTTAATAACTAGGATAAGTGGTAAGATTCTATTTGCCTTATTTTTGTGTGTAATTTTTAGTTAGGTATATTATTTGTAAATGTACAGGTTAATGTTAGAAGTTTACCAATAGTTGCTTATTATACGATACTTATTATCTAATATCAACATTTACCGATTTTAGATGGGTCCTTACAATATGTAAATGCAGACGTTATAAGTCGTGTATTTGGAATTACCATTGAGCAACCAACATCAAATGTAAGTTTTTATATATAGATTTAGTTGTTAAATAAATTTATTATGTGGTAGAAAAAAGCGGACTAATAATAAATTAATATGTATTTTATTTAATTTTTTTTCTAGGAGTCCAATTGTAATTTTGTCCAGACACAATTAAATCGCTCATGTGAAAATATTAACATGCCCGATAAAAATGAAAGTGGAAGAAACAGTTGGAATAGAAGCAGTATTCTAATGTTAATTAGTTATTATAAAGATCATTTGCATTTGTTTAAAGCCTCAACGGTATGGAATGAAAAAGTATGGGATATGATTTCTAAGGAAATAGGTTATTCGTCTGAGCAGTGCAAAAATAAATTTAAATATTTAAGGGCAAAATATATTACAAAAAAGACAATATGTCGGATAAAGCAACAGGTGCCAAAAATATTAACTTTGAATATTTTGAAGAATTCGAAGAATTGTTTGGTATTGATCCAAATATAACTCCCAAAGCTATTGCCTCTTCTAGTGGCAAGAGACCATACAGTCAAATCTCGATGGCAGATAGAAGTGAGGAAGATTCATCAGACAATCATACACCGAAAAGACAAGATAAAGAAAACGAAGGAGACCTTAAAAAGCGCAAGATAAATGTTGCGGGTCAGTTGAAAAATTTGGTGGAAGAAATTCATTTAAAAGAAGAAAATAGAGAAAGACGGCATAAGGGAGTCTTAGAACAAAGAGAACGTGCTCTTGCCGATTTCAATAAGTATTTACTTTTCTTAATGGAAAATTAAAAGAAAAATAATTTAATTTTTGTAAATCGGTGGCAGTTGGGTACTCCTTAGAATGTATAAAAATCANACAAAAAGGATATGCTTTATCTCCAATAATGAATTGATTTTCATCCAAAAAATTTGCAGCGTTCGCTGTAATGTCTTTATATAAATCAGAATGTTTAAATATCCGAGTGTCACTTACACTGCTTGGATAACCTACAAAGGTGTCTAAAAACTCTCTATTATAGGCGCAAACAGCTTGAAGAGTAATTCCATAAAAACATTTTCTATTTATGTAAACCTCTGCATTTTCAGATGGTGCTTTAATGGCAATATAAGTCCCATCGACTGCACCAACACACCCAGAAATTCTTCCACATTTATAAAACTCTCTTTCCATTATTTGTCTTTCATTTCTTGTTGGCCATTTTATAATTTCCGGTACAATTCTGTTTAATGCATTTATCACCCGTTCAAAACACACAAAAAGGCTCGACTTAGACATATCAAATCTTCCTCCTATTGACCTAAATAAAAATAATAAGAAAACATTCTTTCAGTTCCAGTTCAACTTACCTGTAGCTATCTGGAGTACCTAATATCCATATTGCCGCCAATAACTGTTTTCTTGGGTCAATAGTTGGTTTCCCACTCACTTCGCATTGACTTTTTAAATGGTCTTTTGTATTATTATACAAAAACTCAAAACTTTCCCTAGTGAGCCTAAAGTTTTTTTGGAATTCCTTATCAGTAAAATTAGGTACAAGTTACTCCACAAAGTTGTTTGTTCTGTTTAAATTAGTTCTTGCTGATATACTCATTAAAAAAGAAATCTGGTCTAATTCGTCGTCACTCTCCGATTCTTCATCATCATCAATAATCATTTTATACAACAGAGATACAGCAGCACTTGCTGTGGCACTTCTATGACCCATTTCAAAATAACTATAGAACTATATCTGATCGACACTAATCGACAGACGATATAGAAGTAAATTAAGGTTATGTTATGTTTATGAACTAAACTGACATGTATTTATCAACTCGTTCAGATTCATGTGACATAGGACGAACAACCAAGATAAATTTTATCGGGCGTTTTTTAATTGCCGGGCGTTCCATCTGAACGCGCCCCAGGACTTTCTGCCCTAACTGCTTTTATAAAGAAGGTAATTAGTTTTGTGTTTTCGACAGCTTAAAGAAAATCGATGATCTAAATACAGTGGGTTAAGATTGAGATGTAACTATTTGGTGGACTATACTGGGTAAGTCTAATAGATACTGAGTAATAAAATAATATTGAACGATGTTAAAAATATTTTATTTACTGAAAATTGTATTTATAATTCGTGGGTTATACCGTCTGTTATGTCTATATGTATAATATACTCTCCAGGACTTTCAGCCATGAATAAATGTAACTGTTATTGTGCAGAATTTGTGTACAATTTTCATATTTGTTTAATTTTTACATTTTGAATAAAAATTTTGTAATACCATGTATTTATTTTTCATACACGTGTACATGTCATCCCTGTTATAAGAAGTATAAAAAATACGTTTGCTTCAGTAATAAGTAATATGTAACAAATGTATTTTTTATGCTTATTAAATAAATGAAACTTTAAATTATATAGTGGAAGTATGNTCTAAATATTTTAGCCTTCTAAACCGCCCAAACAATAAAGCAAAAACTCTTTCTATTACTTGCCTAGTTTCAGCATGACTTTTGTTAAAATTTTTTTGATACCTGTTTAAATTTCCTCTGTCGATATATGAAGGTATGCACCAATTACAAAAAGGATATGCTTTATCTCCAATAATGAATTGATTTTCATCCAAAAAATTTGCAGCGTTCGCTGTAATGTCTTTATATAAATCAGAATGTTTAAATATCCGAGTGTCACTTACACTGCTTGGATAACCTACAAAGGTGTCTAAAAACTCTCTATTATAGGCGCAAACAGCTTGAAGAGTAATTCCATAAAAACATTTTCTATTTATGTAAACCTCTGCATTTTCAGATGGTGCTTTAATGGCAATATAAGTCCCATCGACTGCACCAACACACCCAGAAATTCTTCCACATTTATAAAACTCTCTTTCCATTATTTGTCTTTCATTTCTTGTTGGCCATTTTATAATTTCCGGTGCAATTCTGTTTAATGCATTTATCACCCGTTCAAAACACACAAAAAGGCTCGACTTAGACATATCAAATCTTCCTCCTATTGACCTAAATAAAAATAATAAGAAAACATTCTTTCAGTTCCAATTCAACTTACCTGTAGCTATCTGGAGTAACTAATATCCATATTGTCGCCAATAACTGTTTTCTTGGGTGAATAGTTGATTTCCCACTCACTTCGCATTGCCTTTTTAAATAGTCTTTTGTATTATTATACAGAAACTCAAAACTCTCCCTAGTGAGCCTAAAGTTTTCTTGGAATTCCTTATCAGTAAAATTAGGTACAGTTTGCTCCACAAAGTTGTTTGTTCTGTTTAAATTAGTTCTTGCTGACATACTCATTAAAAAAGAAATCTGGTCTANACCATATGGTCATTCACGATTTTTAAGGTTATGTTAGAAAACGTGAGAATATTCAAAATTTTAATAGTTTTATTGTAAATTAGCTTTATCTAAAGATTTATCAATGGTTTTTAATTGTGTTCACAATAGGGGAAAGTGGGGCATAACGGAAGGTCGGGGCAAAATGAAAAAATACTCTCGTTTTACCATAAAATATTTTATCATTCAAATTTGCCGTGCGTACTTCCGAGAACGATTAGTGTCACCTAAGCAGTCCGACGAAGCAGTTGTTTGTTGTGCCGGAACGAGGTATATTCAGATTTACTAAAATCTATTATCCTGTTGTAATTTTTTAAGGTAGGTGTATTGATTTTCTCCTAAAGTTAATATTTATTCTCAGATATGTTTTTATTTGAATATATAACCGTACATATCTATATAAACATAACCTTTAAATGCACAAATATATTTTTGTCGTTTCGATTTATAATTTAACGGACCGTGGGGCAAAATGAAAAATATAAAATGGGGCAAAATGGAATGATTTCTCCATTTTGCCCCTTATTATTAATTTTTATGTTCAAAAACACGTTAGTTCTTTAAATAATAAGTGCCTACCTGTAGCTGGGTAAAATTTGTTGGTGCTCTTTTGTGCTTCTTTTCCGAGTCGCCGAAAAAATATTCAGACCTTTGAGTATTTTCGAGTTATTTTTTTCACTCTCGCTCTCTCAGCCTTGAGATTAATTAAAAGATGCCATAATCGCAAGATATTTTTTGAGGTTTAGAGTGCGTGATTTTTTTTAATATTGCNCCGAGAACGATTAGTGTCACCTAAGCAGTCCGACGAAGCAGTTGTTTGTTGTGCCGGAACGAGGTATATTCAGATTTACTAAAATCTATTATCCTGTTGTAATTTTTTAAGGTAGGTGTATTGATTTTCTCCTAAAGTTAATATTTATTCTCAGATATGTTTTTATTTGAATATATAACCGTACATATCTATATAAACATAACCTTTAAATGCACAAATATATTTTTGTCGTTTCGATTTATAATTTAACGGACCGTGGGGCAAAATGAAAAATATAAAATGGGGCAAAATGGAATGATTTCTCCATTTTGCCCCTTATTATTAATTTGTATGTTCAAAAATACGTTAGTTCTTTAAATACTAAGTACCTACCTATAGCTGGGTAAAATTTGTCGGTGCTCTTTTGTGCTTCTTTTCCGAGTCGCCGAAAAAATATTCAGACCTTTGAGTATTTTCGAGCTATTTTTTTCACTGTCGCTCTCTCAGCCTTGAGGTTAATTAAAAGATGCCATAATCGCAAGATATTTTTTTGAGGTTTAGAGTGTTTTTTTTTTAATATTGCAAAATTGCTTTGAAAAAGTAGTTTAGGTAAATTAAACTAAAAAAATTGTTCTTTTACACCACAATGGTGAGAAACTACAAACGTAAGACAAATAGACAAAGATGGTCCGAGCAAGGGATGAGAGAAGCGATTCAACTTGTTAGAAGTGGAGAAATGGGCTATGAAAAAGCAGCTAGCAGTTGTAAAGTACCCTTAGCAACTTTATACAGGCGATACAAAACAAATAAGGACATATTCCTGATGCTGCCAAAAAATCATTGGGCCGTTTTAAAACAGTATTTAACAAAAATCAGGAAAATGAGCTTGTAAGATACCTGCTGGACATGAAACGACGATTATTTGGACTCAGCTTTCTTGATTTTCGATCAGTGGTGTTCCAGTTTGCTACAAAGAATAATATTATAAACAATTTCAACAAAGAAGTAGCACTGGCAGGACGTGATTGGGTTTATAACTTTTTGAAACGACACCCCCAGCTTTCTTTAAGAAGACCTGAAAACACGTCAGCGGCAAGAGCCGCAGCGTTTAACAAACCAAATGTCAATATGTTTTTTGATTTATTGGGACAATTGATGGATAAGTACAAGTTTCCCCCTAGCCGCATATTCAATTGTGACGAGACAGGAATAACTACAGTTCCAAATAAGCCTGGAAAAGTTTTATCGCTAAAAGACAAGAAGCAGATAGGAGTCTTAACATCTGGTGAACGTGGCACTCTTGTCACGACCGAAATATGTTTCAGCGCGTCTGGCTAATATATTCCCCCATTATTGGTCTTTCCTCGGGTACGAAGAAATCCTCAACTCGAAGTCGGTCTTCCAACAGAATCAATAAGTGAGTTTCATCCATCAGGTTGGATGCAATCCCATATTTTTGCACCTACGTGGATAAAACATTTACAAGTGAACGCCATTGTATATCATCACCCCAGCAGCTTGCAGAAACACTACCAGCATAAGAAAANCACGAAGTCGGTCTTCCAACAGAATCAATAAGTGAGTTTCATCCATCAGGTTGGATGCAATCCCATATTTTTGCACCTACGTGGATAAAACATTTTATTACATATGTAAAACCAAGTGCAGAAGATCCAGTACTTTTGGTGTCAGACGGACACGCGACACACACTAAAAATATAAAACTTCTCGATATTGCCAAAGAAAGCCATGTTCACATTTTAGTTACTCCTCCATATACCTCTCATCGATTACAACCCCTGTATGTAGAATTTATGGCTCCGTTAAGCATTTATTATGAACAAGAGGTCAAGAGTTGGTTGCGAAATAATCCTGGCAAAGTGGTCACTTTATATGAAGTTGGAAAATTATTCGGTCCAGCCTTTCAGCGAGCGGCAACGGTTCAGAATGCAATTAGTGCATTCAAAAGTACTGGAATATGTCCGTTTAATCCGCATGTATTTCCCGAAGAATTATTTTGCCCAGCAGAAACCACCAATCAAACTCTTCGCCAGGTTCAAAATCAAAATATTCCAGTGTCAAGTGAACGCCATCGTATATCATCACCCCAGCAGCTTGCAGAAACACTACCAGCATAAGAAAATAATGGCTCTCCACAACCAGGTTGTTCTAAAGATTCCTCACCACCAGGTTATTCCAATGACTCTCCACAACCAGGTCGTTCCGAAGACACGTTACATCCAGGTTTCTCCAAAGACAAAACCCCACCGAGACTTACACAAGAGCCAAACAATCAATATTTCTCCCCTTATGATATTGTACCCCTTCCAAAGGCTAGCCTTAAGTTAAGAAATAATTGTAGGCATGGAAGAAGCATGATTTTAACATCGATACCCAACATAGAAGAAATTAAACAGACAGCTGCAGAAAAATCAAGTGTGAAATCAGGCCAAGTAAAGAAGCGACTTAATCTGGATACAAAATCTATTAGAAAAGTAAAAAGAACGAGGCAAGACTATGAATCTGATTCAAGTGAATCGTCTATTATATCTGTAGAGAGAGAAGACACAAGATTTTGTACTGGTTGAACTAAAAGAGGCAAAACGGAATACCAAAAAAACATTTGTTTCCCAGGTGATAACAGAAGTCAATGAAGAAGGAACAATAAAAGTTAAGTTTATGAGGGCGTACTGTCAATCTACTAATTTTTTTCTTGTTTCCCGACGCTGATGATGAAAGTATAATCTACGAACATGAAGTAGTTGGTAAATTGAAAAAAGTCGAGCACTTGCGTTATAGCAAAATTAAATTTTGTTAAATCACAATATCCTTTCCGTTTAACCCCGTATGTGGGGTAAAATGAAAAAAATGCATTATGTTTGAAATTTTTTTATTTATCTTTTATATTACTTGACAGTATTAAAAGCCTTTCATTATCAGTTTTTTTTTCAAATTAAATTAAAGCTTAGGTATACCATTTTGCCCCACACTCCCCTATATTTGTTTCATATCTAACATAAACTTCTGCAAAAAATTAAGGGAGCAAAAAATTTTTCGAATTTTTAGTGATTTTTCAGAATGCTGTATCTTAGTTAAAAATGATCGTATCAAGGTTTTAAATAAAGCATTTTAAAGCGCCGAACGTCTAGTTTCCAGATTTCTTAGCTCAAAATTTTTAGGAGTGACAGTCATCGCGAAATTCTAAGAAATAAGACTAATACAATTTTTTTCAATTTTTTGCGTATTTTTTTCGGTACACGGGCTTGGAAAAATTTTTACACAAAAATCATGATATGGACTTGATAGCCTGTTCATTCAGCTTTAATTTCTTTTTTTTTTAATTTTTCTCTACGTTAATTTGACCCGGAGATATTCGACTACGAATACAAAAGCATCCTTTTGGCTTTAACCATCGATATCTCAGCAACTAATGATCAGACAGAAAATTGACGGGCAGTTTCGAAATCTCGAATAAATTTCCTACAAGGCTATGTAGCGTTCTTGGAAGAAAAAAATTTTCTTTCATCCTCGACATTAACTTGAAAAAAGTGAAAAAAAGTGACTTTTTGACTTGTTTTGCTAAGTCGACCGCATCTTTGCTAATATCGATGGAGAGTCTAATGCTTGTACGAATTTTTACACCTCGATGTACCCCCAAAAGCTCCGTAAATGGGCAGATCGATCTATCGAACGGTTTTTCCGGACCGCTTAATCAAAATTTCAGAAAAATTTAAAGGAGCAAAATTTACATTTCTGAGCACCCTGTAACGTTCGTAAAAATGAAAAATTTGATTTTTTTTCATTTCTTTCACAATTGGGCATTTTTTGCCCATTGAATTTGAAATGCTTTTTTAAAACCTTGATACGATCATTTTTAACTGAGAATTCTGAAAAATCACTAAAAATTCGAAAAATTTTTTTGCTCCCTTAATTTTTTGCAGAAGTTTATTATGACTAGTTTCTGGAAAATACTGTTCTAAACTTGACAATTTTTTATTTAATCCTCAAGTTTTGTAAGTTATATATTTAAATTATTAATATTTTGTTGTTATTAATGATATGTTCCATTGTAGTTTCTCCTGAAGCAGGAATAAATTATTCCGAAAGCTGGAGTAATAAAAATGAATACACATTCAAGTTGGCTTTAACTACATACCCGACTATACCCAGCATATATAGTATAAATCGAAATTGTCTTAACGGC